TCGTCGGTCGCGCGCATTAGCGCGCCCCGCGGAAACGCGAGCCGCGTCAGGCTGGCAGCAGTAGGCGCAGAGCCCGCAGCTTTCGTGGGGCCGCGAGGCTTCCCCGAGGCACCTTTGCGAGTCGACTATCACGCTGCAGCCCTTGACCCTACTGCCTCTCGGTGCTAGTCATCCCTTGAGGAAAATCCAGTGTCTCGTTAGGCTCGGTCGCGCGCATTAGCGCGCCCCGCGGAAACGCGAGCCGCGTCAGGCTGGCAGCAGTAGGCGCAGAGCCCGCAGCTTTCGTGGGGCCGCGAGGCTTCCCCGAGGCACCTTTGCGAGTCGACTATCACGCTGCAGCCCTTGACCCTACTGCCTCTCGGTGCTAGTCATCCCTTGAGGAAAATCCAGTGTCTCGTTAGGCGCCGTACGTCCTCAACACTTGTTTGAAACGCAGCCGTGACACAGTTAAACACCTGCGTGTGTGTAGGATCCCGCAGAATTCCGATTCCACAGACGACTTTAAAAAGCGACCAGCTGGTGTCGAATTCTGAAAAGCAGAAAGAAGGACGCCACGGACGGCAGCTGTTTCACAAAACCTTCGCAGCGAACCTCGTTTCGTGGGCCGAGCTGTCCCTAGGCAAGGCTGGCGCTCGGGACGCGCCGGTGCCGGCCTCGGAGGACAGGGAGCCCGCTGTAGGAGCGGTGAGACCCAAGCGCTGAACCCGCAATCCGCTGCAACACTTCTGTTTTGCTTTTTGAGACGGGGGTTTTTAACTCCCGGGCTCTGGCGTTCTTCTTGCCTCGGACGATTGGCCTCGGCTGGCCCTGGCGCGGCTAATAGAAACCATCTGCAGATCTGTTCTGACAGTAATTAAGAACTCTACTTTCCAAGCTTGCTCTTCTTTGAACAATTCTAATGTCTGTTAATCAGCCTCTCATCACTTCCGTCTGTTGATTCCAGTTTTTCCAGGGGCCACAGTGCACAGACAAGCCTCCCTCAGCGCCCTGTGACATGGCAGTTACCGTGTGTTTTGGCATCTCCTCCCACCAGGGTTTTTCATGGTCATTCCCAGTATCCCCGGGCCCTTTCCAGTTCTTTCTCACCCTGCCCTTTACTCTCTGGACATTCTCTGGGTTGTTAGTGTCCTAGTGAACTGTGATGCTCTGAACTCAGCAAACCGTGATTCCAGGTGGTCAAAATCTTTTTGGATCCCTACCCTCCCTGGATCGTCATCCTCATATCTAATTGATATTCTATCCAAGTCTTTACTCAAATGTACTAAGATAGAGCTGCTGGGCTTGGTGTTGCCCCCTGTAATCCCAGAACTCAGGAGGCTGAGGCAGGAGGAGTGTGAGTTTGAGGCCAGTCTGGACTACACAGCAAGTGCAAGGCCCCTGGATTACTAGAGCAAGACCTTAGGGATGTAAAATGAATTAAGATGTATTACCTACACATGCCAGCTCTCCCGGTGAATGTAATCACTTACTGCAAACGTAATAAAAATAAAGTACTTTTAAGCAAAAAAAAAAAAAGAAAAAAAAAGAAAAGAGCTAAGGTCAGACCTGTGCTGCATGCCACTAGACACCTTAATCCTCCTGCCATCAAACACCTCAGTATACTTTGAGTACAGAAGGACAGCCAGCTGCAAAACACAACAACGGAACTATCTTCTTGGTCCATATTCCTTCACATGATTTATAAGAATGTGTGGACTTTGGGTAAACAGTTTCCAGGATTTCCAGAAACTGTATTAGCCACACTCAAATAGGAAATCGTGACTTACTCAAAAAGGGATGTATGTGATTTCTTTTCTTTTCTTATTTTGAGACAGAGTCTCACTATATAGTTGAGACTGACCTGGAACTCACTATGTAGCCGCTGGTCTCGAACTCACAGAAATCCTCCTGTCTCAGCCTTCCGAGTGCTGGGATTTGTGATTTATTTTTTTTCCACAAGTTCTTAAATGCATACACATGTGTACTAAGCCAAGATATTCTTCTCCAGTTTTTCAGTGAATTTTTCTCCCTCCAGTTTCTCAACATTGGCACTACTGATATTTAGGCTGGATAATTCTTGTTATGAGGACTGTCCTGTGCATTGTAGGATGTTTGCCAGCATATATAGCCCCTGCTTATGAGATGCCAGCTACACCTTCCTTCCCAGTTATGTCAGCAGTATGTCTAGACATTGCCAAAGGTCCCCTAGGAAACAAAACCACCTTCAGTTATAGACCACTGGTCTAACTGTTCAAGGAAATGGCTTCTTTAAATAGTATCTATCACATCTGGCCCAGACAATTCCCAAAACACCTCCACCAAGTCAACCCCCAGGTACCTCACCTTGTTTCCCCAGTTGCTTAGATTCCTGTTATAGGGCTTCACTTTAATAAAAGCATTATTAGTGTGAAATACAAAAGCAGCTACTGACCTCAAAATATATGGAAATCATTTAAAAGGCGCTGTAAAATATTATTCATTATTCCTGCCTCTAAAAGGTTTTCGGGTTTATTTTGCACTGGGTATTGTACCTAGGGCCTTTGTACTGAGCTACATCCCTGTAATAATTTCAACACTTGAAAAAAGTTTTAATTTTGAGATAGGGTCCAACTAAATTATGAAGTTGCCCAGGATGAGCTAGAAGTTATGATCCTTCTACCTCAGCCTACCAGAGTGATGGGATTACAGGCATGCAGTACCATGCCCAGCTGGTATTTTCATTTTAGAAGAAGGCAGACCCTAAAGCAAATAAGAAATCTCCTCACTGGTGAATACAGCCATCCCCAAAACCCAAAATGCACAACTTACTGGCCTTGTGTGGGGAAAAAAAGGCAGCTTGGAAGAGTAGAAGTTCTAGAAATTGGAAGCAAGTCAGCTGAAGTTTTTTATCTTTGCTACTGACTAGTTCTGTGATTTGGATGAGTAAGAATTTCTTGGAACTAAATTTTATCATCTGTAACATAAGGAAGTTTTTTTTATTTGTTTTGTTGTGTTTCTAGTTTTAAGATTCTAGTAGCTCCTGTGTATGGAAGTAAGAGGTTATGCTGTTTTATTTGTCCCAAAATAGAAAGAAATTGGTAATCAGTGTCTTAAAACCTCCTGTCTGAAATTTTGTTCATCCTTGTCACAAGGTAGTCAACCTGCTGAATCACCCTAGCAAATTTGTAACTAAGTATTATGCCTGAGTAGTGAAAGCCAAACTATAAAATTGAATATACAAGCCAGGCACAGTAGTGCAGGTCTGTAATAATTCCAGCATCTTGAAAAGCTGAAGCAGGGGATTCCTGAGTTGTGCCCACTGTGAGCAATTTAATGATAAATAAAATATAAAAGAAGGAATGGGGAC